ATGTCACAATATTATAGCACACCCATAATTCAACTATTGGCATTCTAGATGCCATTCAAAGCCAGATCTTTCTCACCTAAAACATCCACAAATTGTACAGTGAGAAAAGAAAACATATATATGTAAAGCACACAAGGAAAATCTGCAACATAATCTCATCATAACTCATTCCTTAATGAAATATTCACAACCATTTCTATATATCCTAATTCTATCAATCATGCATCATCTTCACATCACAATTTACAATCACACCAATCCATCACATCATATAATATGTACTATGTTAAGCTCACGCCACCCCTGTAACATCTCGTGCCCAAGGTCGTGCCACACCAACATAAATACTAATTGTCACACATAAATCTTGCAATTAACACTATGTCAAGGTCACGCCACCCCGATAACATCTCTTGCCCAAGGTCGTGTCATCCCTGACATAAGTGTGAGGAACCACAATCACATTTTATTCATAATCATCACAAATTTTGCAATTAACACTATGTCAAGGTCACGTCACCCCTATAGCATCTCTTACCCAAGGTCGTGCCACCCCTGTAGTATCTCTTGCCCAAGGTCGTGCCACCCCTGACATAAGTGTGAGGAACCACAATCATATTTCATTCATAATCGTCACAAATCTTGCAATTAACACTATGCCAAGGTCACGCCACCCCTGTAACATCTCTTGCCCAAGGTCGTGCCACCCTTGACATAAGTGTGAGGAACCACAATCATATCACATTCACATTCCACACATCTCATTTCATGCCAACATACTTACATCATAATTAATTGAACAATTAAGTCGTAACATACCATTTGCCACATCATGTTATCAATTCAATATTAAAACGGTAGATATAATGTACACATTTGTGCCAAGACATCACACCACATTCCATAACTCAATTCCACATCACATACACAAAATAGATAAGTCCACACAAAATAGTGGTTCACATACCCCTCAAGTAATTCACCATGAATCCACATCTAGATCATCAATTTTACCAAATAATATAACAATAACATTTATAAATTAATATAAATCCCGATTGAATCACCAATTTAATAAAATCTTAACTCAAATAGTAAAACTCCCAATTTTTCCAAAACCTAACTCACGGGCACTTTTCTACAATTTTGTTCTCTCTCCCAGATTATCATTTTTACAAATTATTTGCATATTCCTAATCCTCAATACATGCAAAATCTAATGGGATCATCAATTCCTCAAACAGAAATAATTATAAAATTACCCATAATCCTACGAAATTCCTCCTCTACCCAATTCTCTCATGTAACTTTGCATACAAATAATCTCCTTTTCCCCCATACCTCAATAAGCAGTAGTTAAACTAAAGCAGGATCTGGTTGGTCTCCTCCTCTAGGTTCCCCTTGGTCTTCAGAGAGTGTAGAAGAAAAGAAGTCAAAAGTAAAAAAATGTGTTTCTGGGATTGTCAGAGCGTGCTATTTATAGACATCAAGAGTGGCCATAACGGTCTGTTTCGAATCCGGATGGCCCATTCTGGACTCATTCATCATGTGTAAAATTCACATTCAGAACGGTTCGTTCTTAAACCAGAACGACCTGTTCCCAACTAGGGTTATAGGCCATTTTAGTAGTTTGGAACGACTCGTTCCAGTTTGGGAACGGACCATTCTAGGCTACTAAATCACCTTTATTGGGCTTTGAGCCTTCGTATAATCTGTAAAAATCAGGGTGTTAAAATTTGTCTGTTCCTAAAACATGCATCAAGCAAGGGATTGGGAGTCAATCCTACTACCAACAATTATTCTCACACCCCAAGCGAGGTTTCTCACTCTCCCTTACCTAGATAATCGGAAGACGAAGCACAAGCAGAGTCCAACACTACAAGAAAATTGTCATATAGTAACACGCACCCTATAGTGACACTATACATGTTACTAAAAATTACTTTTACTTACACAATAACTACAATAGATGTTGATATATTATTAAAAAGTGTGGGTATAGACTATAGTGACACACAAAATATGTTCTTAAATCTCATTCAAAATTAACACTAAAATTATGTGTAACTATATGTCAAATAGGCATATACCTACATATATTGTAATAATAAAGAATGAGAAGAAGTGAGAGCGTGAAATGAGAAAATCCCATAACTTTTTTTGATAAAATAAATAATAATAATAATAATAATAATAATCTATAACTATTATAAAGGGGATATAGAAGATGTAACTGCTTTTTTGTCTCCATTTTTTAATAGACTATTATACCCCCAGATATAAAAAAAATCTTAAATTTTCTTTAAATAATTATACACAACTTTTTAATATTTTATTAATGAATAACTATTAGAGGCACTTCGTGCCTCTACCCCTCTAGTAATAATAATAATAATAATAAACAAAAGACTAACATGTCCTTCCTTCCCTTCTCATAAATAATAATAATAATAATAATAATAATTATTATTATTATTATTAAACATACCTTCTCCCTTTTATAAGATAACTTAAACATAATTATTAATAATAAAATACATTTCATAAAAAAAACTCATGCTCCACTAATTAAACAAAATATAATTACAAATCGTGTCACATAATTAAGTAAAGCTCATATAACTAATTAAATAATATCCAAAAGTCTAAAATAAATATATTAAATGTGAAAATAATTTCTAAAATACTATTTATTATAAGATATGAAATTCGGGATGTTACAATTAAAAACAACGATCTTAAGTTTAAGGGACCAAAAATAATTTATCTTAAATTTAAGGAATTAAAAACATATTTATACCTTAAATTAATATTTTGAACATATAAATTATATTTTAAATTTATATTATAAATATTATAATTTATTTTGAAAATATTACTATTTAATATATAAATAAATATGATAAATTAAAATTAAAATAAATAAAAAATTGTAAAAGTCTGCGAAATCATTTAATGTAAAAGAATGTCAGAAAAAAGTTTTATCGGAAGAAAAACTCTTAAAGTTTTTATCCTTGAAATAATTATTTGCATTTATATATTTAGAGTGAAATTATATATGAAATTAAATATTATATTCTAATATATAAATTATATTATATTTAAAAGTTATATAAATAAATTTATATACAGAGTGATGGTATCTTAATTTGAGCATAGGTTAAACTTATTTTATATTACAAAAAAATCATAATAAATTATATATATTATATTTTAATGTATAAATTATGTTACATTTAAAATGAGAGTTGTTACCCAAAGATAAAAGTTTCAAAACATTTTCATGTGTGGATAAAAAAAAATTGAAAATTTTAATTTGACTATAAAATAAATAATCTATATTATATTTATTCAATGAAAATTACGAAAAAATATAAAGATTAAAATTATAAAATTGTAATAATGATATAAAAATGTTTAAAAAAATAAAAAAAAATATAGAAGTGAAAAATTAATTTACACTATAAAAATTTAAAAATTTAAGACAAAAAATAAAAAAAATATGCTAAAAAATTATTAAAATTAAATTAGTTAAGTATATAATATATTATTATAAAGGAAATTAGAACATATATAAAATGCAAATAAAATCACTAAATAATTTAGAAAGAAAATGAAATTAGAAAAATTAAAAGAAATATAAAAATAATTCAAAAGTATACAAATATTATATAAATAAATTATTTTTTAAAAAAAACATATAAATAAATTATTAAAAATAAAAAATTTAGGATGAAATTAGAATTCTAATTGTACCAGTACCCCTCCAATTAGAATTCTAATTGTACCAGTACCCCTCCAATTAAAAAGGTACATTGCTATGGTACCCTTGAAAATCAAAGGGTTTTGGTACATCAAATTATGTGAACAAATAAATTTTAAAAAAATAAATTCAAAACAACATAAATTTTAGATTAAAAATTTGTATAAGATGAATCAATCAAAAAGAATAATTTAAAAAAAATAATCAAAATGTCAATTTTCATAACAATTTTTATTTTTATGTGACAAAATAAAAAAACTAAAATAAAAAAATTATAATAATATTATAAAAACATTAAAATAAAAAAATAATAATACAACTGAAAAACTAATTTATACTATAAATTCAAAAAAATTATCAACAAAGAAAAACTAAAACATATTAACAAAATATTAATATTAAACTTTTTAATTATAATAAATGTTGCATTAAGATATAAACTAAAAAATATAAAATTAATATAAAGATATAGAAAATTTTATACAGATAAATTATTAAAAATATTAAATTTAAAAAAAAAATAAAACAAATAATTACAATAAAATAAAAATAAAAATAAAATGATTGTTCCGGTACCCCATAATTATAGGAATTTGGATCCTCTCCTACAATATTCTCTCTCCAGCCGCTCTCTTACAACATTAATAGCCATTAGATATATTTAATGGCTCAAATTTAATCTTATAATTAATGTAACTTTTTAAATGATTAAATTTGAGCTATCAGATATATCCAATGGCTATTAATGTTGCAGGAGAGAGGATGGAGAGAGAATATTACAAAAGAGGATCCAAATTGCAATTTATAGTGGGTACCGTAAAATTTCTCTTTACAAAATAATTTTTAAACATACTCACTTACAATATACTTATTTGTAATTTTACATGTAAAAGTGTATTTAATAATGAGTTAATCATCTATAAACTGCTAGTATAAAAAAATTTTACTCTGACAATCAATTATATCTTTTAATTGTGTCATGTCACTCTTAAAAGTAAATTTGTTTACAGTGACATGATACAGTTAAAAATATAATTAATTACTAGTATAAAAAAAATTTACACTGACAGTGTATAGGTGATTATCTCTTTAATAATTTCACGTTAACAAATTATTTATATCATTCACCTTAATTTTTTGTTCATTCAATAATTCAATTCATGTCTTGTTGGGTTCTTTTCAATGGTAAAAAGAAACAAACAAAAGTTAGCACGTGTCATTTTTCTATCGGGTTCAAAGCGCCTCGTGTTTCACTCTCCTCCTCAAACCTTTTCATGTTCTTAAAACAAGCCATTTGTTAGATTTCTTACTTACTTGCAAAGGGTCTTCTCTCTTCTCCAACAAATTCGCGCAGCCACCAATCATTCTTTCAAAGGTTATTCATTCTCGCTCTCTTTCACACATTTCACTCTTGCTTCTTCCTTTCAAGTTTTCTCGTTTTTGCCTTCTGGGGTTGTCATTTTCCAACCTTAATTTCTTCAAATCATTGAATTTGCTTGATCCGTAAGCAGAACCTGAGTCCCTTTGTTTTTGTGAAGTGGGTTTGCGTAAAGTTATTTTCTTTTTCATCTTTCAATGGATTTCTCGATCCTGCAATGATTTGTACAATGACTTGTAGATGTATACTTCAAATGGTGTAATTTGAATGAATCAGATCTTTACACCCATCCTTCTTTTACTTCAAATGGTGTAATTTGAATGAGTCGGATCTTTACACCCATCCTTCTCTTTGTTGATTGATGTGTGAGTGTGGGATACGAGTGGACTAATGAGTATATTTGAAAAACCTCAATTTTCATGCATCAAAACCCATGATGTGTGATTTGTTGTCATCCAGATATATTACACTGTTCATTATTTTAATAATATGAAAAACATTAATGGAGCCCGCATAGTATTTTATATTTCATTTTCTGACCTTTTGGTTGATGTAACTTATTGATCTTAACACTTTGGGGTATTACTATTATAATTATTATTATTTGAATTTTTTTCTTGGTCAAATAAACTTCTTTGTTTTAAAATTACTTTTACATTGATATGCAAAAATAGAAACTTTGTTGTTGAAATTATGTCATCACTTTTATAAATTGATATTTCATTTAATATCGCAAAAATGTAAATTTGTTATTACAAACATTTTTCACAGAATTTGTTTATATGGTATAATATGATAATATGACTTTCATTGTGCAAGTGATTTTCATTTTGTATGTTTTTTCTTTCTGTTGTTTGTGTTGCCCATCTACAAACTTAGCTTGACATTGTTTGGTTATTGTTTAGTATTTATGAACAGATCAGATCCCTTTAAACTGTTAAAAGTCATCCTTAATAATTATTATAAAGCTTAATAAATTTATTATACATGTAGACTTGTAATTAGATAACACTGTAAAATCTTGATCTTTATAGTATCAATGCATTTCAATTAATTTTTTTTGTTTTGTCTACTTTATCATGTACTAAGCAATCACATTCCAAAATTTATTGACCTTATATTGGGTTGATGCATTGTTCAGGAAAGTCACTATGGTTGATCAGGTTCAGCATCCCAGAATCATGGAGAAGGTTGCAGGCCAGTTGCATCTCCGAACTGGTCTTCCTTTGTACAAGCAGAGGCGCTCATTTGGGAATTACTCAAATGCCGCATTGCAGTATCCGGTAATGCCAGCATACAGTGCTGCAACCGATATCTGCACTTTATCAACCTCCCCTGTGTTTGCTGCAGCTCCGGCTGAGAAAGGACACTTCCTTATTGACTTTCTCATGGGTGGAGTTTCAGCTGCAGTGTCCAAAACTGCTGCGGCTCCCATTGAACGAGTTAAACTCTTGATCCAGAACCAGGATGAGATGATCAAAGCTGGTAGACTCTCTGAACCATACAAGGGTATTGGTGATTGTTTTAAGAGAACAATGCAGGAAGAGGGTGTTGTTTCCCTATGGAGAGGTAACACTGCAAATGTCATCCGTTATTTCCCAACTCAGGTAATTAGAAGTGATTTTTAGTGTGACTTTCAAGTTTTTATTATAAAAGTCAATGAAATTATTGTACACCGTAGTTCGTCATCTGATGTAAAAGACTTTTATATTATGAATGCATGTATTACTTATTCTCATTTTTAGTTTTTTTATCTTACCATTTCCAAATCTTTTGGTTTATTGTATATGGGTGCTAAATGTGCAATATGAATTGTACTAGGCTCTGAACTTTGCATTCAAGGACTACTTCAAGAGGCTTTTCAATTTCAAGAAGGATAAGGATGGTTACTGGAAATGGTTTGCTGGTAACTTGGGCTCAGGAGGTGCTGCTGGTGCCTCATCCCTTTTGTTTGTCTACTCCCTTGACTATGCTCGTACCCGTCTGGCCAATGATGCCAAGGCTGCAAAGAAGGGTGGAGAAAGGCAATTCAATGGTCTTGTTGATGTCTACAAGAAGACATTGGCATCGGATGGTGTTGCTGGTCTTTACCGTGGCTTCAACATTTCCTGTGTTGGAATCATTGTGTACCGTGGTCTCTACTTTGGAATGTATGATTCCTTGAAGCCAGTTCTCTTAACTGGCTCTTTGCAGGTTGGTTATATACCCTTGTTTATGTGTTCTCTTCTGACATATGTTATTTGATCAAATATTTTTAGTTGGGTTGACTTATGCGTGTTACTATACATCCATTTTAAAACCCTTGATGACTAAGGTTAATGCACACATATTATGGATTATTAAAAGTGTAAAATATGAATGTATTTAGTTTATAATACTCTTATTTAATTTAAGATGCAATTGATTTTGTTGAAGTTCTTTAAAATATGTTGATATGGAGGTAGTTGTGATTAGTAGGTTGTATTCATTTTCATTAATGCCTTTTAAAATCAAAATAAGGCAAAGAAGACCATTCTGATTTTTCATGAAAAGTTTCAATTCCTTTTTGCTGACTGCTACTGTCATTTTCTTTGGTCATTGCAGGATAGCTTTTTCGCTAGTTTTGCCCTTGGATGGCTTATCACCAATGGTGCAGGTTTAGCCTCATACCCAATTGACACTGTTAGAAGAAGGATGATGATGACATCTGGTGAAGCTGTGAAGTACAAGAGCTCTATGGATGCATTTACACAAATCCTCAAGAATGAGGGTGCCAAGTCTTTGTTTAAGGGAGCTGGTGCTAACATCCTCCGTGCTGTTGCTGGTGCTGGTGTGCTTGCTGGTTATGACAAGTTGCAGGTGATAGTGTTCGGAAAGAAGTATGGTTCCGGTGGTGCTTAATTTTCCAGCACTCAGTTCATATTTTAGTTTTAGATGATGATGAAAATCATTGAGTTCTGGTTATTAACCAAGCCTTGGGCAAATTTTGTTGAATAATTTTGCTCAATGGGATTATATATATATTTTTTGGATCAAAATTTTGATATTTCAAGTTTGATTTATTTGAGTGATAGGAAAAACAACTGTCACTCTCCAATCCATTTTGTTTACTTTTGAATTTTGAGAGATACTATGTATTCTATATTTTGTTCTAGAGCTAGTCTTATCTCTAGACTGAAATACATATGCAGTTTTTTATTTCTTTCTATGTTGAAGTAGATCTTCTCTTGAAACTGAATTGATCATTGTTTTGGAGTATTGTTTGTTGTTTATTTTTGCACCAAACATTCCTTGTTACCCTTGCCAAGTAAACAACTGTTATCAATTCACCAATTTTCTAATCATAAGAATAATTTTAAATTAATATTTTGAGCCATCAATTCAGAAGCATTGAAAAATGAAGCAAATCATCAAATTGAGCATCAAAATCATGAATTAAGAGATTAGAAATCAAATTATATAAAGTTGAAATTGGCAATTCTCATTGTTTTACTTAAAATAACAAGGAAACATAACACAGTGAAAAGATAGAAATGAAGTGGAGGGATTAGGGATTAAAGCTGGTGAATGGAAGGGGGAATTTTTTTGCTTCCACAAGAATCTAGTTAACAAATTAGAGATCAGGGCACTTATCTTGTTTGGCTTTCAAAATGATACACAAATTTGGTTACAACTTTAATTTGTTCGGTAGTGTACACATGAACTCAGGGATATGGGGAACCATCTTATAATAGTTAGTGTATACTACATGATGAATTCATAGTGTACAATTGTGAGGTGCATAAATATTAGATACACTTTTTTTTAGATATTTTTCTTTAATCAAAATTGAATTTTATCTTATTAATATAAGTTTACATTTAATGCAAATCTCTATTATATTTATATATAAATATATGTAAATTATTGAGATAAAATTCTAATTTTGATTAGATAATAGTACCAATTATTTCTAAGAATTGTACTAAAGTTTTGTTCTAAATTATTATTGAAATTATAATATGCATATTAATGAGGGATTCTAATTTTGATCAGATAATAGTAGGCATGGCATCTAACCCGCCCCTGTATTCGAATCTGCCCCGATTTAGATCGGAAAAATCTGTGTTTATCGAGTTCGGGTTCAAGTTCAGGTTTTCTCCGATTAATAAAATCGGGGGCGGAGGCAGGGGCGGGGACGAGGATGTTAATACCCACCCCACCCCCGCCCCCACCCCCAGCTCACAACAGTTTCTTGGGTCTTCCCCGAAGTCGAAGTTCCGCTAGTCCAATTCTTTAGGACCTCGAAAATGTCATCTTGAGCAGCTTCGTCATCAAAGAAGCTTATGAGGTCTATGTCATCAGGAGGAATAGAAGCTAGCAGAGTGTCGGAAGGGACAACATCAGTTGAACTCGCAGGTTGATTGGAGGGAGGAGTTTGTTTATCCTTAGAGGTTACCTCTAGGCCTGCACGAAAAATGGATATTTTGTTAAGTCGAAGTTATTCTTTGGTGGAATAACATGATTTCCAAGAAATAATTACCCACCTTTTCCAGAGGACACCCCTGTGTCGAAGTTGAAGGAATGTGCATCACCTTGCACAGGACCCAGAGGGAAGGTTCGACAGTTGGCACGGTGACCGGAATAGTGGCCTTAAGAACATTGGAGGAAACCGCCTGTTATGAAAAACATTGTAACAATGCACAGGCTCAAGAACGGCCAGAAAAGTAAAATCGAAAGTCAATAGAACATAACTCAGGACGTTCAAGAGGAGAGGCCGATTCATGAATTTCGATAACATCTCGAGAAGATGGAGTAGTAGTAGGAGAAGTAGGAGCACTTCGAGAGCTCTCAGAGGAAGATTTAGACACCTCTGAATCCACCTTTTTATGAAAAGGGGTAATTGTTACAGAGGATAAAATCAAATCAAGAGAAGAGTAGTGAAGATAGAAAAAATTATACCTGAACAGGGGATTTCATTGCATCCTTCATAAGCTTCTCAGTGGGAATTTTTGGTCTAGGGATAGACCTAGTCGAAATTGCTTTTTGTTTCCCTTTGTCTTGGGAAGATCTCCGAGTGGTGGAAACCTGAAAAAATGCCAAAAGACAAGGAGGTCAGTATGGCGTTCGAGTAACAATTTTGAGTGCGCCCAGAAAGATAACTTACAGATTGACCACTATGAGAGTCCGAACGAAGTTTTTTCTTAGGAACTTCAACCTCCTACAGAAAAAAAATGCAAATACATGAGCGGCCATAAATTTAGTACAATTCTGGAAGAAGGAACATACTTTGTTATTCTTACCTTCGAGCGAGACCGAAGCCAGTCAGAAAGAGTTTTTCATTTTCGAGGCTTCAATGAAGTATTATCTTCGTCATCCTCTGAAGTTGTCTCCCGGTGTTGAGTGTCCTCTTGATGTTGAGGAACTTTTTGGGCAATAGCAGTTAAATGCAAGGAAAGTGAAAAATGAGTAGAGATGTGAAATTCAAAGCCAACATAAAAGGAAAAGAGGCAAAGCTTAATTACCAGGATAGACAACAGTGTTGTCAACCCAGCACAAAGGCCATTGTTTATCCCTGGGAAAATCATACACAGAACATCTCGCACTCGTCACTCGATCCTTAACAGGAATGTTCTTATTATCCTCATACGAGGGATCAAGGGTTCTCACCCAAGGAGGATAATCAAGACCTTTCGCAAGGCCGAAAAGGGAATTGGGAAGAGGAGGTATGTGCTTAGGACAAAATTTTTCAAAATTAGTTTGACCCTAAGGATCAATGACTTTATTTCGACGGATGTTCCGTTGTACCATTCTAGTCAGGGATAAAGTAGCATCGAAAATAGTTCGAAACATATTTTCAGGGCGATGACAAACTCTGTAATATTGTTCAAACTGAGAAATAATGTTGCGATTATCATAAATACCTGAAATCTTCGGGCCCTACAGAGAAAAGGGAGAATTCGTAAGTTTCCCACCCAGATTTCGACCATCTCCTGGGAAATCTGTCCTACCTGATTGTTACCAATTAACCACGAAGGCCCTGCCAAATCAGAACGGATGAAAGGAGCCAAATCATTCGAGAACTCCTCGAATTCGAGAATTGCTTGGACATAACGGGCAAAACCATCAACAAATCTTTTCTTAGGAGTCAAAGCAGTCAAGCACGGGGCGGGGAAACCCAAATCCCACCAGGAGTAGTCATAGAGACCTAGATTTTATCCCCGGCGAGTATCGGGGATGGGAGCGGGAGCGGTTTAAATTTGCAGGGGCGGGGGGGGGGGGGGGGGAAACCGCCCCGTTGCCATGCCTAGATAATAGTATCAATTATACTTGAAAATTGTATTAAATTTTTGTTCTGAAGTATTATTGAAATTGTCTTATGTTGTTACTATTTTAGCGTGGAACATGTGCAAGTTGGGTTGGTTTGAATTTAAAAGGTATTTAGATCTAAATTAATTAATTAATAAGTTTAAATATTTTGTTGTCTGTCAAATTTTAATTAAGCAATTTTAATATTCAAGTATCACAATTTTATGATTTTAGTCTATCAATTTTTAATTGGACAATTTTAATTCTGAGTAATTTAATTTTTCAAGTATCATCATTGTGTGATTTTAATCTCTTCTTAATATATTTGTTTGTGTGTGTAAAATTCTTAAAAACTATTTATTTAATGTTTAGTAAATAAATATTGTATATTGTATTTTAATGGATTCTTAGATCTAAAAGTTCGACTGTTTGGATCATTATATCACTCAATAAAAAGTGAGATAAATAAAAATAGAAAAAAAAAAAAGTTATAACAAAAACAAAATTGAAGAATAATTTCAAAAGTTAGAATTATCAAATTGCACAATATAAAATCTATAAAATTATATCACATAAAAATTATAGAATTATATAATTACACAGCATAAAATTATATAATTACATAATTTAAATTTAGTGTTTTTTAAATAATACATGTTTGAGTTGATTTGGGCTCAACATGTTCAAATCAAATACTTTAACCGATGTCTTCAGATATGTAATTTTAAAATCCGAATTGAATTGATGATCTAAACCAATCTTTAAATTTTCTCTTTGATTTGATTCGAAATCATCATATTATTAGGTTGACTCAATTCCATTTCTAATTGTGGTCATGCTCCAAATTTAGCACGTACACACAAGTTCCAATGACTACAATTGGTTTTCACCTAGACTTGGAGCACTAGAAAACTTACTTAATCAATCAATCAGTAATAAATTAATGACAACAAATTTAAAAAGCATTTAAAAATTAAAATCACATTTTCATTTTGTATTAAATAAGAACAATTTAAATTAAGTATATTAATATTATACACTTATTAAATAATCCTTCATAAGTTTGCATTAACCGTAATCATACATAATTTTGAAAATGATGTAGTATTACTTATTTTTAAAGCTAAAAGAAAAAAAATACTCACGAGATAGCATTACACCACATAAACATTATTGGATGGTACTTGGAATACTCGTGTAATCTTTATACCCATATCATATGATGATAATAACTAAAATAATCGTTAATTATTTTTAGACTTTTAAATTTTAGAGGAATGAGAATTAAAAGAGAGAGAAAAATTAAAAGAACTAAAATTCAATTTAACTAACTTATAATAATTAAAAACATAATTGACCTATATTTTTATTAATTTTTTATTACTGTTTAAAATAAATATTGAATAATAAAATAATTAGATTTAACATTTTAAAATATAAATTATATTAATTATTTTTCATTAGTAAAAGGATTTATAAAATAATTTTGTAAGACATTTTATTTTGAAGTGTTTATTCCTGAGTACTCCTTTTTAATTTTAATTATTAAAGTTTTCTTTGGGATTTCTCATTTCTAATTAATCATGTATCTTTTAACTTTATTATTTTTATTGAATTTTCTTGGCGTACATAACCTGGTTTCTTTTACACCACTTTGGCTGCTTTCATTTATTTTAGGTACACTTGTTTCCATCTTTTACGTCTTGTTCAATGAACTTCCCAATGTCACAATAAATCACTGGACCCAAGAGCAAATACAATAACAACAAACATCTCATCCCCTGATCTGAAAAAATATATTCAATTAAAAAATATAATCCATAATCCATAATATTATATAAAAGTAATCACAGTAAAACAATAATACATTAGGTTAAGGAACCTTATGTTGCAGTTTACACTAATTATGCTAGATATATA